GTTAGATAAATCAGTACACTTGCTTTATATGCACGTTTGGATGCTTAAACCAAAGCCTCAAATTGACTGAACACTTACACAAAAATATCATTCAACATTTGAGTCACCCAGTGTCATTAAAGTCAGTGAATTTTTAATTATATTAAATGGGATATTGTTATCTTAATATTTCAGCTTTCCCTTAAAAGATTTTTTTCTTTAGTGGGGCACAGAAGGGGAATATTTATGAATGCTCCTTATAGTGTTTGCATGATCCCTTGATATTAAAGTAACATTACTGAAGTAGTCATTACCTTGTTCTGCTTAACGAAACCAGAAGATTTAAATGAGATTGTTTAGTCATACACCAAAAAAAAAAAAAAAGTCATATTGATAACAGGACTGATGTCTTATTTTTCAGTTATTTAGAAACTGCACCTGCTACAATAGACTGATGTGTTGCAGGATGCTTTATATTACATGAATGTTGCAGGAACTGTTTTTGCCATTATGGGTGGATTATTGTAACAGTAGTTTCCTGATGACATCATAGTAAATTCCAGCTGCCCAAACAGTTATTTTCCAGAAGAGGTTATCTGCAGTGCACTTGTGCAAAATTACACTTAGAAAGGGAACTCATAGTTCTCTTGGGATTTGTAAACCAAACGTTTTGTCAAATCCGTAGTAAACACAGAATTCTTTGTTTTCATTCTCTGTCAGTGGCAACAGTATGGGCACTACTCTAATTTGTGATTCTGAATTATACAGACAAAAATTATATTATGCAAGACAAGAGAAATGGAAGTCTGCAGTGCAAGCTTCTTGTCATGAAGGGATAGATAGCACAATGCTTCTCAAATGGGTGTTTTTCCTAGAGAATGTTTTGGATGATGACCAAAAAATATAGATAAGGGCCCAGAGACTGCAGTGCCCCCACTGAAATGGCACACTTCATGTCCAGTGAAGGCATGAGTAGCCACAGGGCAGGAGAGAATGCTGGCTGAAAAGCTGGCCTGAGGCAGTAGAGATTCCTTTTTGTGTGGGATGTTAATACATAGATGTATATGCCTTTCCTAGAGTGAGTTTTGATTAATTACCATTGTTTGTGGGAGGGGGGGGTGTTTTGTTTTTAAAGGGTAACTTTATTGCTTGGACAAGCTGTTTAGGTAATGTCATGAAGGCTGCATTAGAAATTATCATGCCTAGTCACACAATTCAGAGCTTCTTTCCCAGTCTTGAGAAGCTGTAATTAATATTGAGTCAAACATTTCTGGCAATTGCTGAATCTGAAATGTGTATTAATATATATTTAATGAAGAATACACCGTCCTATTGCTGATTCTTCGATAAATCTTATAGCAGGAAAATAAAATTTTGGAGTCTTACCAGATTGTCAGACCCTAAGAATATCAAATAACTATTCTCTGCCAATTTCTTTCTAGCAAATTACAGTATTCTGAGGGGATTTTAAATAACGTGTTGTTCCAAGGATCATTTAATTTTAATAATGGTTTTTATTACTGGTATTTATATATGTTGAAAATGTCCTGCAGTTTTTAATGAACTGTCACAACATGTCTGTGAATTGAATAACTTACCATGATTACACTAGCTCACTTGGGTAAGGAGAGTGGCAGCAGTGGAGGCTGGCAGATTAACTCTTTGTAGGATTCAAAATCTTCCATCTCACTGCTCTGGTCATTAATTTCTCCTGCGCTCAATGACTATTTGCTTCTACTTATCCACACAAGTAAGAGTCTCCCAAGTTAAGACTTTTGATGCAAGTCCTGCAAAAACTAATTTATTGGTTTCTTTCAATCTTGTATTCTTCTCAGTATTCACATGCAGTATAAAACCTCATTATTTTCCAGCCATTTGCTCCTCCCCTGACACACTCATGTGCTTACCAGTCCTGCTGTGCTGTCCCACTGGATTCACTGCAGGTTTGTGCTAGGTGCAGTTAGCTTCCATCCTTGTGTATCCTACAAAGCACTGTGGGAATGGCTCTGTTCAGCACATGGATCCAACATACATCCAGGGCAACCACCTTGTCTTGTCTGTGAAGGAAATCTTCAGGTTTGTGGCTTTTCAGACCTCTTTAGTGACAGCAGAAGTCTTTACAGTCCCTGTAAACTGTCCCAGTTTGAGGGACACTAGTTTGGCTTGTCCTGTGTGTGTTTGGCAGAGCTGTAGGTTCATCAGATGGACTTAATGAAAATGAGCAATGTGACTCCTGTGTCTCAAGGAGGACAAATATTGTGTCAGACCCCCTTCTTGCTCCTACACTGTGCTGGAGATTTCAGATGTTCATGGATTTTATTAAATAATGGCACCCCACCACTAGGATTTCTACAATCTTATTTTGAGCATGTTATTTTGATCCATGTTCAGAAGGGGATTCTTTTGTGTCTGGAGAAAGCTTTGAAGTGATAGAAACATGTAAAAAAAATAGTTTTGCCTGCTGATAATAATTCAACTTGATCCCAAGCAATTTATAACGAAAATACTTTTCTCCTCGCTAATCCAATGTTATAATAATTACAAGAGCAGATCAATAGCAGGAAGTATAAAACAAAGTATTGCTTCAGATATTAAGCCACAAATTGATCTCCTTCTTGTCAAGCCTAAAGCAAATGCTGTATCAACATGTTTCAAAGATTTGAGAATGTTCTGAAATGTGATGGTGATGGCCCGACAGAGAGAAAGTAATTTGTTTTATGCCTGTGTGTTAACTCTTTGCAGCCTGCAACTACAAAACCCTGCTGTTATCTCATTTTGCACTCACACTTTACATCAGTGTTCTCTGACTACTGCTGCACTTGGCTCTGATAACATACAAGGTTATCTCTCGATAATAACAATCCTCATTTGAATTAGAAAGAACCACCAGTACTTGCACACAATCCAACACAAGTCTTGTGCAATTGGCAAAGGATTCCAGAATTTATGTGACAAGAATATTCTGCTTCAAATCAGTTATTGACCAAAATAGTTCCTTCTTAGGAAATAATGACAACACCCGAAGGTGTTGTCACAGAACACCTTCACAGAAGATTGTTTAATTTTCTTGGACAACTGATGACTCTTACAAATTTGTACTAACTGAATCATACTGACCTGTTCTAAAGAAAGTAGAGGAGAAAAAGTCTGAGAAATTCTAGAATTCTTTAGAAAAAGAAACAGGTAATAGAAATTTATGTATTGTAACTTTTCTTCTAAAATGCAAGACACAGTGATTTTGAGATCTCTTTTCCCTCCTAATCAGCTGATATATGAAAGTTGTCCTTACACTACTGTAGGCATACAGAGGTTTCAGAAGCTGCAAATATCACTTCTCAATTCACTTTATGATGGTTATTTTGTAAGCCAGTAAGAAAGATTGAAAGTGGTTCTGTGACTGAATAATTTGTTCCTGAACTTGTTTTTTAGACATTGAATATTGCTGTGGCTTAGGTGCAGCACATTTGAGTAGTCAGCTTCTCCTGTAGGAGTGCTTGCCAGGTAGGTTCAGTGACCTGGAAAAAATAGGGTTTGCTTTCTTTGGGCTTCTTCTGCCCTGATGAGTATACAGAAGGAGCACTTAGGAATCTGAGGGTTTGGTTCCTCCCTTCATAGTGGAGTAGACTCTGCAGGGAGAGGTTTGGTGTATCATCAGTTTTTGTTTGAATAAGGGCTGTTGTTTTTTTCTGACAGTACAAAGTCTTTTGATTTTTTTTTTTTTTCTTGCACAAGTGAAGAATTTTGACTAGACTTGAGTAGGCAAAAGAAGAAGTCTTTTTGATCCAAAGCTCTTTCACCTTGTACCGAGTCAGCCCTGTCAAGTAGAGATGACCAGCTGAGCAGTCAGAACTCCTATTTGTCCTAACCAACTCCTGTGTTTAACTGTTTATTAGTATGAGGAGGAAGGAAAGTGGTAATTCTCAAGTCTTGGCCACCACTGATGCTTTGTCAGCCAGTTATGATTAGCTTGATCATTTAATTACTTTTCCAGCACTAAGAATAAATATTGCTTTGCACTGGAGAACAGAACAAAACTGTAGGTGTCCCTTCAGCAGAGCAAGACAGCTTTTCTCTAGTCTAGTCTTTTGTTGTTACAGCAGTGTTTCCAGCTGTGATACTTCCTTGTTGCCAAGTAGTAGTAAATAGCTGTATAAATCACAGTAATGCTTGTACCATTTGGGTACAGCTGATTGCTTTTTTATTCTAACGGGTGCACACAGACTTACTCTCATATTTCAAAGTTAATTGTTATTATTTCTGTGAAAGTGATATCTTTGGGAATTGAAGAATGACCACATGTGAAATGCTTCATCTTCAAACTTTGTATTTCATTTATCACTTGAAGTGAACACAATTTTATTTAAATTGTATTTTTAATTTATTTTCTCCAAGACTGTCTTTAGAACTAGAAGTCAGTAGCCATTGCCTCCCAGCCTAGAGTCAGTAACAGTGCTGGGATGTTTGATTTAGGACAGCAAACACAGACAGGTTTTGTCCATGCTACCTGCAGGCAGAGCTCAAAATGCTTGAGGGGTTCTGTTGCACCTTGGTACTGGCACTTGCAGTCTGGAGTCCAGCAGAGTTTTGCTGGGTGTTGTTCATGTTTCTCAAGAGGAAATGGGTAAGTAGGGAGCCTGTGTGGATGGGAAGCTCACTAACACTGGAGAAGGATGAGTGGAGTAGTGAGAAGGCTGGAAAGGTGTCCTGAGTTGTTTGTTCTTAGCTTCCTTCTTTGTACAGAGCTGTAGGCACGCCTGGCTTCTTGTGTACCTGCAAACAATAGTTTGCTATGAAAGCTTACACTCAAAGCTGCATGAGGTGTGGGACTCTTCACTCTTGAGGGTGAAGAAAAGGAAAAACCTGTTACGTAATGCACAGCTTTGGGTTTGTGCTGATTAAAGAAACCTGTATCTCCATAGGCATTTTCTGTCTTGCAGTGGGAGTCAAAATAGATTTTGCTGACATGAAAATAATAAATACGGGTAGAAAAATCAGACTGCTTGTTATCCTTTTTTTCAAAGCATGTTGAGGTGGACCTGAAGTGTAATCCTGACAGAGTTTCTCATCCAGGCTCAACTGAAGACCAGAAAACTGATTTCAATTGGCAAGGCAACCCAAATCCCAGTCTGCTGATTAAAGATGATGGAGAGCTGCTTATGGATGAACCTCTTTCCCCCAGGAAACTGGTGAGTAGACATCCAGCTTTCTAATGAAGTGGAAGAGGCAAACTGGCATATACAGAGATGTATTAACCTTCCAACTGCTGTTGTACTGATTGTGGATTGTTGCCTCTCTGACATTTAGAATTCTGCGTAATGTAGATTCTGTCTTATGAAAGTATATCAAATGTTTGTCCTCCTTTCACCTTGTTTCATATCAAAAGTATTCCCAGCATGATTGTGGATTTGTTTATTGCCAGGGTTCTTGAAGCAGCATGAAGAAAAGTACAGGTAGCATAATTATAGTCTACACAGATCTCATTAATGCCATCTGGAGTACCTTGAATCTTAGCATTAGAAAAGGAATTTACATTAATCTTGTTCTAGAGATTGGAAATGTAACTATAAAACACAAGTTTTTTTCCTCCAAATTAGTGAAATCCTCTGTTCTGCTAAGAAGCCAATCAAAATATTCTGCAAATGATAGAAGTACTTTCTATACATGTCAAAGTGGGAGGAATTTCAAAGCATATTTGAAAGCCATGTTCCTTTTAGACTGGGGGAAACTATTTTGCTACACAGCCTGTTGAAAGACAGTCACATGCTGAAATCTTCATGAAGGAATTTACTTTGTGAAAGAATACTTGGTTGCACACTGTATTGTACTTGCTCAGGACTAATTAAGGGTGAAATCCTTTGGGATGTGTAGGAGCTGACCAAACAATGTCACTTTTCCATACTAAAGGAAGGGAGAGTTGAGAGCAGAGCTTGAGGAGCGAGGCTTTCTGTGTTACAGACCTATAGAAGAATCTCTCTTCTGCTGGGGAGCATTTGTGAAAGACAGATGGGGCTGCCAAGGCTGTGGTTCAGGTGCTCCCAACAGCCAGGGTGGTGATTGCAAGTGTCCATAATCCCCTGTGTATCCACTGCACCAGTGGAGAGACATGAGCTTCCAGAGGAGCATATTCCAGCTGCGGGTTTACACCACTCCCCAGCCACATACCAGCCACCATTTTGACCATGTGCTGTAGATTAGGCAGAACTATTGTTCCCTAATTAGCCAAGTCTTTTAGTGTTTATTAAATGGTTGAAGGTGCAAAAATCCCTTTCTGCAGAGTGAATATTTTAAGCATTCTGGAGAAAAAATGCTGCATGGTTGTATGATCTGTGCCATTCACTTTGCTTGGGCTTGTGAGAACCTCTAACCACTTCTTGGTCTTTTTTTAAAACCTGGCATAGAACTGGAGCAGTCTAATGTGTTTGTGGTCTACAACAGCCTGTATAAATCTGATGGGAACCTCTCAGATTAGTCTGTATTGCTAGGGCATGAACCAAAGCCCATTAGAGTAATCAAAACAACTGCCCTCTGATTCAATCAACTCTGAATGAAACCCTTAGGAAGTTCTTTCATTGGCATGAACTTCTCTTTCTGAACCTCTGCTGCTTTTAATTCACAGCAAACTGTAAGCAGAAAAGTGTATATAAGGCAATGTTACCTACATCCCGTGAAGTTGCTGTTTATTGCTCTATAACTTTTAAAAAATGTAGATAAGAAGTTAAATAATTGAGTTTTGCCTTTTTTGAGATTGTGGGTTTTAACATTTGTAAGGTATCTCATTTTAAAGATTTCTTTAAATGAAGTAGTACTCTGTCTTGCTAATTTTTCTGCATACAGTTATTTCCTGTCCTGGAACTCAACATTTGTGTTGGCCTAGCTGGGATACTTCCTGCTCAGAGGAAAAACTACATGACATTGTCAAGGAAACATTTACAGTGTTTATAGCTTGTTTTAATAATGTACCCCATCTATCTATTCTCTGACCTTTATGTTGATCAAATGAAAACCACTGCTGCCATAAATTTACTTTCTCTGGATTCACAAATGTTCAGAATGTTCAAACATTTAATACAAAACTAGTTTTCACATGCATAATTCTTTAAGGACCCACATGCTGTTGACAGTCAAATGGTTTGAAAGGCTGTCTTGCTTAAATCAATACAATTGCAGTATATTTTTGATTGTTTTATTTATATGAATATTTTAGGAGTTATTGATTGTATCCATTGAAGTGCTCTGAGAAGGAAACTAATAGACTTTTAAAATACAGGCTCATTAAAGTAAAATTGTTTTACATTCAAATAAAGGCATGGGCCACACTTCTGTAGTGTTGTGTAGGCAAATTTTTGGACACCTTAAGGATGTTTCTGAGGAAGGTTTTTTCCCTGAGACACATACTCAGCTTTACTTCTTGTCCTCACAGTGGTCTGTCTTGCATCAATTTGGTTTGAGTTTTGGGAAGCTGCAACGTCTAATTGAGTATTTTTGTGTAGATTGGGCACCTTGAACTGCAGCCTGCAGCCTGATTTCTGCCTGCACATTTGCCCTTTTTCCAGAGGGATGGCTGTCTATTTTGTAGTGAAGCCATTAGCAGTCTGCATTATTAAGAACTCTCTAAAACTTGTGACACTTTTATCCACTTGCTGCATTGTTTTCCTCCAAAGAGAGAAAAGTTTGGCTTAGACTGCTTTTTTTTTTTCTTTTCCTTTTTTTGCCTTCTTGGACCATGTAGAACAACAGACAACTTCTATAAAACCACTGGACTGTTGCCCATTTTTTTCCTCTCAATTGTTGATCCTATCACTTAGACTTTGTGCTCATTTACCACAGTTGGTAGTCTTCTGTAGCTTTGTTTTAGCATAAGGTTCACTTCAAAAACTGTTTGATTCCATATTTCCATTATGTTAACCACATCTTCTAGTTTCTTCTTGCTGACAGCTCTTTTGCTGCACTGTTGTGTAACATCTTTTGCTATTTGAATGTCCTTCATCCAAGATACAGGTCAAAAGCTTTTGATGCAAAGGTTGGTATCATTAGATGGCATTTTTATTAGATGTCATTTTTATTCTTTCTGCTAGTATCAATATCAATTTTCTGGTGTACTCTTTAATCTTCCTCTATATTAATAGGCATTCTTGCTTTTACATTGTACCTGTCCTATTAATATTTTCAGCTCTATATTTTCCTAGTTATTTTCTTTCCCTGCTCTGCCCATCCTTATGCCTGGTTGTTAGATATTGTAGAATACCAGGGTGAGCAAATTCTCACTTTGTCCTGAAAACTGGCTAACAATGGGCAATTAATTTTTAACTCTATTAGGGCTGTGACATAGATTTTTCATTAAAGTGGAGAAACTGAAATTAAGGGCGCCACCTGTCTTTAATCACATTTTTATTTTGTTCTCTCCCTGCTGTTTGCAAAGGATCTTTTCCCGACTTCCACTAAAAGCATTCCACTTCTCAGAAGAAACTCATTTTACAAGGTCAAATGATCTTCCAGACATTGTCACATTATAAAACCCAATCACGTTTGTGTGTGATCTTTAGAGAAGAAAGGAAGTATTCTCTAATTTTGCTTTTTATTGATCCTACTCCAACTAATCGTGTTTTCCAAACTTAGGAACACATGTTCGGATGTGGTGTTTCGTTTTGTTGCTCAGGAGGTTAGGGTGTATTTCATATGGTATGCACTCATCCTCATGGGAAAAAGAAAATGCTGGAGGGTCCTGGAACAACAGATGGGATTCTTGCTGAAGTGACTCAATTGCTTCCTTTTTTCTTTTGCAGAAAGTTTTCCTCACAGTTGTAAGATAATTGGATTTGAGGAAAAAAATGGACATCAGGAAAGTGCAGAATCTTGATAAATTAGGTAGAGTAAGGGAATGGAAGTAACTGAATTTGACTGAATTTGGATCTGCTGAATCCTTCATTAGAAATGTATAATAATTTTTTTGGGGTCCTCTGGAGGTCTGCAAGTTTGATCTTCTGCTCCGAGCATAGCTAGTTTCAAAGTTAGATCAGATTGCTCAAGGCAGCAGATAGCAGAGGTAATACTGTGAACTGGGAAAAAAAAAAATTACACCTCCTTCAGTTTCAGAGCTTTCCTTTCATAAGTTCCTCTCCTAACACTCATACCTTTACAGTAGTGAAGGCTTGTAGTTGTTATATTAGTGTTCAGCCTTCTACTTAGGCATCTGATGTTTTACATTCAAATTTTCACATCAGGAATCTTTATATGCATGCACACACATGCACGCTTTTGTATGAAGAAACTCAGATGTTCATTTACTTATAGCCACCAGTGCTTAACTAACATAAAATGACATTACAGCCTTAACTTTCCATGTTCAGTGACACAATCTTGAACAATGATTGTAGCTGCTGTCTGTGTACCTAACTCCTAGATAGGAAAAATAATTCATTTTGGGGTATGACTTTTTTTATATCTCTGTGAGGGAAAGTAAATCCTTACAACAAATCTAAGCAAAAAATATGGCAAGAATGTCTATTATCCTGTACATTCCTGACCTGCCTGTTAATTCAGCACATAGTTGAAACAGTTTTTTTTCCTCTTACAGAGGTTGTGTGGGCTTTTTCTGGGAGATAACAAACATCCCATCTTGTGGTGCCCTACATGCCTGCTGAAGTTTACAATAGTTAGATTTCCCAGCAACTTGCCACATCAGATTGTTAGTACTGGTTTAAAAACGGTGTCAGAACTGTGACTCCCCAGCATGAGTCAGCAAGGAGCTGAGCTGTGGACAGCAAGACAAGGCAAGGGCCTATCCATGTGGGTCTGCTGGCATGACTTGGGTCTTCAGCACAAGAATAAAGACCTCTTTACTAATGCATTCACCACTACTTAAATGTCACATTTACTGCCCTCATCTACACTTCCCATATAAGCCAAGAAAATCTTTTTGTAGGACCTAGCTAATCTCTTCATCTGAGCTGAGAGAAGAATGTATTTATGTGTATATGCAGAAAGTTGTGAAATACAGCTAAATATTTCAGTTATGGGCATCTGCAGCATTTATCCCTTTTGAAAGGAAGTTTGCATGTGGGGCCACGCAGAAGTTCTGTTCCCTTTCATTGCATCACTTAAGGCCTATTAATTTGCCCATATTTTTCTTCTTAGAAATATTTTGTCATACTTTTAGCACCTTTTTTTTTTTTTTTTTTTTTTTTTTTTTGGTGAAGGAGAGATTATACTTGAGTTGGGAATTTGAAAAAAAAAAAGGCAGTAAACACATGAATGGACATGAATTTGGAATTTGCATGCAGGTGTAGTATTCAAAGAGAACAAGTTCACCACTCTGGAATTCCTGTCTTACCCAAATTAACCAGGATCAGAAAAATACATGCACAGCTGGAAATATTTCTCTGACAGCTGCATGCAACTTGTTCTTCAGCAACGTGCCTACTTTTCTTAGAGTATGTGAAAAATCTAGGGAAGAGAGAAGACATCAGTTGTGTGAGCCAATTTTGACTGAAGAGATATTATTTGTCATTAAGGAATTTACAGATAGCTTCAAGTGGGATTTGAACTTGATTTCCCAGCATCCCCAGGTGACTGCTCCACCAATTGGGAAGCTCTGCAAGCACAGAAGTATTTCTCACTTGCAGTTCTTTACAGAATACTTAATGGCTTTTCTTGTCAGTCAGAAAAGAAGCTTTCCAAGCCAGTATGCAGTCCCCAGTTAGCCAGATATTTTGTCTGGTAGGAATGGTTTCTGAAACATCATGGACTTGCTTCTTAAAATACTGACTAAATTATTTAGCAAGAGATTCTTTATGAAAAATAGTTTTACTCCTATTTTGAAGAAGGTGAAAAAAATGTAAAGTGAGCTTTATTCATCTTTGTTTTACTTACCCTGTATTCAAAGTATATTCAAAGACTTGTGCTTTACCATGGAAATGTGTCCTTTCAAATAAACAAATTTACAGTGGAGTGTCAAACTGCTGCTCAGGATCAACCTTTCAGGTCACCTTCTTGAACATGACATGCCAGAAAGATTTTGATGTTTGATTTTTTTTCAGAAAATATCTCTGATACCTACCCTGCAGGGCTGCTGATGGGTGGCAACCAGAGTCCTCTCTGAACACCAATGCTCAGCTTAGAATTATACCTTTTTTTTCAAAGTATCTTTTTGATCTAAAATAGCTGTGAATGTATCCCACTCTTTGCCTAGAACAGATCCTTGTCCCTTTCTGTTTGCTCTACCTGAAGGCTAAGCAGCTGGAAACAGCCAAAGAAACACCTAGATGGCACCTTCAGCACCTTCATGTCTCTAAGCATTCCTGCGGCACAGGCAGAGACATTCTGTCCCTGGCTATCAGAACAGCCCATTAAGCTATGGGCAGGCAGGCAGTACCTGAAACCACAGTGGGACACCTCTGAATTAGGGCAGGAGCCTGTCCTAGACCTGGAATGGCCCTAGGAATTAAGAGAGACAGAGCATTGAGCATCACTTCTATCCACATGTCAGACATCTCTTTGTCCAAGCTGATGACCCCTTCAATGTGATGGGTCGTGATTTTTTTTTTTCTCTTGCAGCAAAATTCATCCAAAATATCCCTCAAGTTTTGATGGAGGTTCCCATGCTTTGACATTGAACAACAGCACAAATAGAAGATCCTGCTAAATAGGTTTCATCTTTGCTTAAATGTTTCCACGTCCTTCCCTAAGTATCCCACATTCCTGGTGTGTGAATTTTAACTGTAACATGAGAAGTACCACAGTTGCAGGTATACCAGCAGGCCAAGAATGGTGTCTGGAGAGCAGCAGTGTCCTAACAATCTTCCACAGGAGCCATTCCCCATGTATCCTCCTCTTGAAGTGCCACCCTGGACTTTGCTTACTGACTCACTTGCAATCAGCATCTGGGGTCGCAGTGCTTTAGTGCCTTTAAATGAGCTCATGTCCTCCATCCAAGAGCATTTCCCATTTCCTTCATGTACCACACTAAGCTATGCATCCCACAGCAAATTGGTTTCAAGCTGTCCCAGCATCTCCTCACCATCAGCAGATGGAAGGACAGAGATTGCCATAGAGACTCTTGGAAATGCAGAACAGGGAGGTGGGCACTGAGAATACATGGAGTTTGTCTCATCTGGTTAGCACATGCTTCAAGGCAGCTATCTATAGTTCAAAGAGCTGGTGATGACAGCCAATAACCCTTTCCAGCACTGGAGTCACAGTTCTGCCTATTGCAGTATAAAATATGGGTGCACTAAGCAGCTCATCTCTCAGGCAGTGGAAAACGTACAAATAATGGATTGGGAAGAGGAAAAGAGGGCAGGGAATGACACTGGTAATCCCTGGTATGAGAAAAAGGAATCAGGAGCCCTAGACAAGGAGAGAACATAACTTCATGCAGGTTTTATACTTGGATTTTGAAAAAAAATATCAGGGAGCAGAACTGTAAAGGCAGGCTGTCTGGAATACAGCAGGGGTAGGACAGCATGCAGGGAACTTGCAGACAGCAAAGGAGAAAAGGACAAAAAAAGAAACAAAGACTCCTTGGGGTATTAGGACCTTTTGCTACTCAACTGTGTAGCTGAGTAGTAGTGTGTGTGACCCTAAACTTATTACTTGTTCTGAGACTTCTTCCTGTTCTGATGTAGGCTCCTAAAACTATTTTGATGGCAAGCAGGGAGGTATTTTTCAGAAGCTTCTTCCTTTAATGACAGTGAGCTTGCATCCAAATCCAGCAATCCGAGTGCACGGTTTTATGCCAGGACATCAGCTAGCTCTCATTTCACACATAATCTCGTGCTATGTGACAGACAGTGTCATCTGCTGAAAAGGGTTACTGCAAAATGTGTCTTGCCATGAGAGATCTTGTGTTCACTTGGAGGGAGAAAGCTGTCTGTAGCTGTTAAGTTTGCTGTTTTTGCAAGAGCAAGACAAATTTTGTGGTGGCTGCATGTGGGGATAGAGTCTTAGAAGCTTTCTTATGTTCAGGCTGTTTAAAATTACAGTTTACAAAAAATATTAAAAATAAGATTAAAAAACAAATTAAATTAAACATAATGTTTTTAAAATAGTTCAAAAGCAGTTGAAGATATTGGAAATTCTCTTTCTTAGGAGTGCAAGTCAAGACCTTATAAAGGGGGACAGCTTTTCAAGAAGGAATGCTCAGCTTTTTCTGGAAACCAGGAAACCATGTGCTTTTGGACTGCCATCTCGGTTACACTCAGACTGGTTTTAGTCCTCTGCAAGAGGATGTGGAACATCAGCAGAATTTGCAGTCACTTGTGCACAATAAAAATGTTACCTAATGAGCAGGAATGTTGAACCCACCATTCTTTCCTTGCAAAATTAACTGGATATTCTTGTGGGTTTTTTTCTTCCCAAAATTTATAAGCAGAGGTCATTCTACACATTCCCTTCTAATGAGTAAGTTCTCCCTTATTAAAAAAAACCTAAAGAATGTTGTAGCTTTTTAATAATGAGAAAATTTGTCTCCTCTGTGTGGTGGTTACTGAATGGCTTTCTGCCTTCACCTTAAGTAAATGCCCAAAAGGTTGATGACAATACTTTCAACCCCTGCTCTTGATTGCATCATTGAGGAGAAAACTCTGAATGCCAAGGTCAGACATTTCTTTGAAGTGGACGTGTTCAGCCCCACACCCTCACTCTTTTGACATAGAAAAGTGAAAATTTAGAAGTTTTGTCACCATATATAGCATCAACAATTTCAGGCAGTTAGCATGACAAATAAACCTTGCTTCTCATTTCTCAAGGATTGTTTCAGACTCCTCCAGGAACCACTAACCCAATGAGGAACAAAGGATACTGTTCTTCTGGTGTGCTTTGTTGAATTCATGCAACTAGGCTGATGCAAAGGAGGTGGTGGGATATGCACTGTGAATGAGGGAAACTGGGGAGAGAGAAGCTGGATCTTAGCAGGAAGAAAGAGGGGATGAGAGCAGTGGTCATGTGAGATTGCTTTCGCTCCTTGTGGAGTTGCAGCCTGGCATCTTGGGATTTCACAGCCTTGCTGTGGTTTTCACTGGCAGTCTTAGAGCTTCCCTCTCTCCTCTGTGTATAGCTTCTGCTTTTGTTCCTCCTGTTTACCTCTGCCATGGCAAAATGTACATATATGTATCAACACAGACATAAGGATGTTAGGGAAGATTAGGAAAGAGTCTGCATTCACACACACATCCTTGCTTAATGCAATGGTTCATCCAATTACTACAATTTTGTAAAAATAATGAAGGATTTGGAAGGCTTCTATTTGCATTGCCTAGATAATTTCAAAGAAATTAATAATTCTTGTAATTAGTGTAGTCTTCTATCAGAAAGTGAGCTGCTTGAGCTAAAATCATGTGTCTTTTTATTGTTTTGGGTTCAAAGGTAAACAGTGTGTTTTGTTGAGTTTTACTACCAGCACTTGTTGAATTACAGGTGATGTTTAAAGTTAATGCTTTCTATCTGCTGAGGATTAGTGCAAGACTTGTGCAAACCTTAAAGCATGGACATACTGTTTAAATGAAGCTAGCTGGCATGTAGGTCTGTTGGTGGTTTGCAGCTTGAATGTAACCCTGAACCTTGACTCTTTAAGCAATGTATAAGTTTTGGGAGGCTAGAATATTTTGGGTCTACAAGGAAGAATACTACATTCATTTCAATGTGATTGCACATCTAGCCATGTTGACCTGAAATATATGTTGACAAAACACTGTTTGAAAATCTTTCTACACCTTTTTGCTGCTGTGACATCTGGTTTATTGCATGAGAGTACACATATATTTCTGCTTATCTTTACAGAAAATTTTGGCAGGGGTAGATGATCTGCAGCAAGTGAAGGCCCTGGAGATGCGAGTGGACACCAGAGAGATCAGCTTGGGGAATTTTGGTGAGAAAACACTTTATTTTCTGTTCATCATCTTGAATTTTCCTTTATGGTGTCTTGACTGGGGAGTCACTAACCATCAGCCAGTGAAAAGTACTGCCCTTTTTAAGAGTTCTTGAAACAGGACCTCCTTGTACCTCATACTCTTTGATCTTCTTGTGTGAGGCTCTGCATAGGACTGGAAACTCTGGCAATGGGATGAGTGACAGGACTTCTTTCAAAAGCAAATTAGTTTGGACTAATTTTTCTTGTATGATATTCTAGGCCCTAAATGAGCATTTACTCTTGTCTTTAGTGAAACAGGAGCCAAAGGTCAGCTTCTCTGCACTGTGAGATTTCCCTGTGACTGAGGAATTGCCAGGGGGTATCAGGTGGCTTGTGCTTCCAGCAGCTTGTCTTTGCATCCGGCCTCACTGAGCTGTGCTGGAAAATGAGCTGGAGGCAGGTCCTGTAGATACATCATTTTGATGAGCCCCAAGCAGCCCTAACACTTGTCATTCGTTTTTATGTCATCATCACTGAACCAGGGAAGTGAGAAGTACCAAAGGAATTCCCTCTGTAGCAGAGTTAACACTGAGAATATAAAGCCTTAGTTTTTTTTTCCAGTACTAGCAGTCATTTTCTGTCATGTGGATTCCTACCACACCCAAGTCTGTCTTCTGCTACATTGAAGCTTAGTAACTACTCCAGGGTAATATTTTCTGTGCTGAAAAAGAGCCATATCCCCAAAACTGTGTACTGGTGCTTTCAGACAAGCAGTTAATTTTTCATATGCAAATGATCAATATAATAGCTGACTAGCTTTAATGGGTCTTTTGATGTCTGTTTGTCAAGTATGGTTGAGCAAGAACAGTGAAAGGCGCTTTTGTTTTTGTATATATAGCCCCTTTGTATTGGTTATTCTGTTTATTTCATAAATAAGTCTCTTTCTCATAGGCACTTGATAATTTAAGGTAAGTTAAATCAATTTCTTTCAGAGATCATAATCTCTTCAATCATGTTTCAACTAATCCAGTTGATAAGGAAATCTCATTATGCCATTTCTATAATGCTCAAAAGTGGTGCTCCCATTCCTATGCCATTTTACATTAGCTGTGACAGGCTAGCAAAATGTTTCACTTTCATTACCCTCTACTTCCCTTTCCTTTCCATTACTGGAATAAATCCATACTCCTACCCATGGTTAGGCTTTTGCAACCTTTACAAAATACAGAACACTATGTCCATGATGCAAATAATTTCCATCTTGTTTATCTCCCACTGTTCACACCAAGAGTTGGCCCTCGAGGGCCATAAAAACCAGCACCTGCAGGCCCCCACTGCTTTTGAGAATAACAGAACATCAAGACCATTCTGAATTTCCTTCTGTTCTTTTTTTTAAGGTGTATTTCTGAGTTTTCTTCCTGTGAAAATCTCTTTGCAAATGTTAGCAGGTGGCTAGGGCAGAAAGTTTACTTTAGTTTCTTCAAATTTTTTTTACATGGCAGATGATTTTTTGGCACATGGACTAAGGCCTAAATGTTTAGAGGTTTTGCAGAGCAGTTTGCACCTCCACTGTGAATGCTGCAAGCAAGACTGCTGTTGAAGATGTTGGGCTCATTGCTTGCTCCCTGCTGGCTGGCTGTCCCTGGAACTGTGCTGCTGACCTGGTCTGTGGTCATAGGGGTCTGGAGAAATAGCCTGAGGAAAACAGTAGGGTAAGAAGCAGACCAGCTGGAATGACAAATATTCTAGCGTGACAGGATGTAAAGTTTTCCCCCATTAGGACAGTCAAGCAATAAAAGTATCCAGAGAGGTCTGGAGGCTTCATCCTGGTGTGTTTTCAAGTGGGTGAAGACCTGAGCACCTGATCTCACAGACAACCTGGCTCTGAGCAGGATGCTGGGCTTGTGACCTCCAACTGTTCCCTCCAGCCTGGACTGCTTGTAATTTGGTGTTGCTTTTGCATTGCAAACCTGGCTAATAAGCTTTGTTTATACACATATTAAACCACTTCACCTTGCTCTCACTGTATTCCTTGGTTGTGCAAGGTGGGTAAGAGCATCTTTATCATCAGCAAATTGTTTGGATGATCAGTCCACACTCAGTAAACAATATTTTTTTGACTGGTTTTGTGTGTAAAAATAAAATAGGCCAGGCAAGGTGTTAAGTGCCCAGGTGACAGTGTGAAAAGCTATGAGAATGCACATAACTCTGAGTCACCTGGAACCTTGCAGCACTCAAATTCCAAATTTACACCACAGTTTTCACTTGAGAAACATTTCAAGGTTTACAGCCTGTGTTACAGACTGTAACACAAACTCTTGGGGCCTAAAGATTCCCAGAGTGATTTAAAACATCTTGCTTGATGTTTTTCTCAAGACCATTCCACTTTGGGATGTGCTAAACTTTAGAGCACCATCCTGTTAACCTTGCCTAGTCTTTCAGGTCTGCCTCTACAAAATGGCATGATATGGTGGGGAGGAAGAGTTACTTTTCTTAGGGACAAGGTGTGAACTAAAACATGAAAAGACTGATATTGAAATATTTTCATGTGATCAGTTTTAAAATTAAGGAAAGGCTTCATGCCAGAGCTTAAATCTGAATATTTGCAGGGCTTGGGGTAATTGCTAAAATCTCTAGCTGTTTTCAGTGCACCTTGCTGAGTGACAGATGAAACACTGAATGCCTTGGCAAGTCTTGTATCCAGCTTTGCATATCTTGGAGTTGTTTTCTGTGCTCCTCAGCTACATGTAGGCCTCAGTTTATGTTCAGAGGGACCATTTCCTTTTCATTAGCTTATCCCTTCAGTTTTGATTGCTGACAGGTATGGAATTGCATTTATGACCAGCTCATAGAAATTCCTGTTGAAAATAATGGTAGGATAGACTCATTTAAGACACTACATAGTCCTCTTATTTCTAAGTAATTTTAATAGCTCCAAATCAAGTTACCCACAGTGCTGTTCGCGGGTCCTTATTGAATTGTTGCTTGCTGGTGGCCAGACTAAGTTGATTATGTGTCTGGAGATTGCCACTTCCCTTGCAGGCATTTTATCAAGGCAAAGCTCTGCCAAGGGTTCAGAAGTAGTCATGTGCTATTTCTCCCACAGGGTCATAATCTCTCTTTCCTCTTGCCCTGTTTGTTGGCACTCTGGCTGCAGAGCTGGGACACCCTTGCTGGCAGCCAGCATGGCAGCAGCAGGTGCTTGCATGGCCAGGGAGCGACACAGAGGCTGGAGGAGCGAGTCTGGCACGAGTGTTGCTGCCCAGGATGCTCTTGGCTTAGCAGTTCTGCTGACAAACTTGCTGAGCAAGGCTTGGACAAGCCCCACAGCAGGGTTTGGGCAGGGTCTCCAGGAGTCACAAGTATGTACTGGGGCAGTGTGCTTATGTGAAGCCCTGCACTGATGTGTTTTCTGTGAGATCCCCATGTCAGGTAGCTTCACTGCAGCTGCCTTGGGTTTGCCTGAAAATGCTGTGGTCTCACCTCCAGTTGTACTGCCCAGTTCATCCCAGAAATGTGCAAAAAAATGCATATGTAGAAATAGGATCAAAGTGATGTATCTTACTTGATCAAACACAGCTCAAGTGAACTAAGTAGACTCTTTAATTTGCATATCAGGTTGCTCTTGCTAGAAGAGTACAGCCTGTTTTCATATGCCTGTTTTGTGTTGTAGAATCAACAAAGCACAATGGTTGCATGATGCCAATGCAAGCATTTGTCAGTAATTTCTTTTGTTTGTTTTTCACTAGTCCATATTCCAAAAGACAAAAGTCAAGCCATGATGATTTTTTGTTAACAAAAGAAAAACAAAGATATATGATGCTACTTAAAGAATATTTCATAATGTAAACAACAAGTGTTACAAGTGTTGTAACTTGTAGAATATCATAAAACCAGCATTTGGGCTGCTTTCTCTTTGCTCCTACTCAGTTTTCTAAATGCCACCAGCTGTACCAAGGCACCTTGGAAAGATGTCTACACTGCTACCCTGCCTGTGAAGTGCAGCACTTCAGGCAGTGCTGTTGAGTGCATGTGTCTATCACTTTTATTCACCTAACTTGCACTTTGATTTCTTTCTGCCCTTTCATTTAGTTTTGTTCCACTGGTAGAGTAGAATAGTTTGACACTAGTACATTGTTGGTGGTTAGTAATTTCAGAGCCATGTAACAAAACTGGTCTTTAGTGAAAGGGAATCGTAGACAGATGAGATAATACTGCTCATCATTCTGAATTCTCAGTCTTGTCCTGCAATCATCAGCATTTCTGTAGACCATTCTTGTTTTTAAAAATCGAAATTACATAAAGGAAGGCAGTTTCAGGATAAGGAATCTACCACTTGTATTTCTAAAATTAATATTAGAAATTAATACTGTTGTTCTTTAGAGTATTTTTATATGTTAGTATCATGTGTCTTTGCTCTGAGGAAATATGCCATGAGGGTTAAAATTAAGAAAATTAGAAATACACTGTTACATTGGGATAAGTATCTTGTCCACCTTAATTTTATAATTTTTCTCTTCCTAATTTAAACTTCTGGTCTCTAATCTATAAGGATTTGGGACTCTAAAAACCAGCAAAATCAATGGTACAATGAATTCTTAGCAGCAAAGAACAATTATATATTGATATAAAATTTACAGGAGGGAAGAACCTGCAGACTTGCAGGAATACATTGCAGAATATCGCTGGCAGAATTTTGAACCACCACACATTGTATACTTCTATTTCAAGCCACTAAACCACACATTAAAGTGTAACACTATACAACTTCCCGGGGATGGATTGTGCCAAAGTGCAAAAAATATCTGAGATGGAGGATCAAGTTACAATAATGAACTAACCAGATGTGAGAATTGTATTATCAGCCTGTCACTCGGCCTCTTTGGATCGTTTAATAGTTGCTTCTTTTCTGAGCCAACCCTAAATGCATTCAGTGAAAAGCTTTTCTTAAGCAAGTCTCTCCATTTCTCTTGACTCCTCATTCAAATCTTGTGCTTAACACTAGTCCTTAAAACTCCTTTGCTTTGCAATGCTTTGCAACAGCCTTTGTTTGGTAACCCTTTTACATCTCTGACTGAATCCCTGGCACTATCGCTCTGTTTTCTGCTGGGACTGGGGAGGCTACTGAATCCCTCTCATTTTTTCCTTTAACACTTCAGGGCATGACATTTAATCTTTCCGTCCCTGTCAGAAAGCAGATAGAAATTTTTTAGAGTCTAGATTTATTTTTTTTTTGGCGGGGTGGGGTTGGGGGGAGGAATTTCTTAGGCCATGATTTATATATTTATATCTGAGGGAGTCTTTGCTCAGTAGCTAGTATGACTGCTGTGAGTAATTAACAGAGATCCTAATATTTCCTCTAACAAGACTCCAAATTATTTTGTTGCTATATATACATATAAACATATAAAACTTGTTTGACATGAGAAAACATATCCTGCAGGACAAGCATTAAGTGTTCTAATTTGTTCTTAATTTTTGTGGATTGTGGAAAGTGCTTGAAAAACAAGGTTAAAAATTTGCACAATGTGTTTTGAATTTTTTGTATTTTCAAAAGTGCTTTGAAGAGACATGAACTTAAATACTTGGAGTACATCATGAAGATCAATATGTGCATTATGATCACTCCAAAATAACATGGGATGTAGATAATGCTTCTATTAAAACATGATTTATTAAAATGTTTTTGACATAAATGCTCTTGTTCTCTTTGGGGAATGAACAACGTGACCTCCTTTCTTTGCTTTTGAGATCCCACTCCCCTTTCTTTTTTTTTTATCATTTGCAAAGGACTCGACTGGTATCCTTCTGGACATTGGTAAATCACTCTTGCCAGGCAGTGATTACTCAGAGAACTCATAAAAATATTTGCTGAGAACACATTTTAATGTTTTAGCAATGATGCAAATTGTCTAAAATTGGTATTACTTCTACATGGTTGCATGTTATACTGGAGGATGCTCACCAGTCTTGAGTAAACTCTGCTAGTGGGAATGGGTAAGCATTTGCTACTGTCCATAAGAAATTCTTACTGAGACTTGAGCTTATGTCTAAATTATTCTGTAGCTCAGAGGGATTTGGTGTATGATTTTGGTTCAGAGATATCTTTAGAGTGAATCAAAAAGGCAAATGTCTCTCAGAGATAAAAAAAAAAAAAAAAGCATTAATTAAAGTAATAACAGAATACTGAGGGTTTTATAGGTATGAAACTTGTACAATTCAATAGTAAACAATTTTATCCAGAAAATTAAAAGAGGTAAGCAATGCTTTGCCAAATGTAGCATGTGGGGGACCTGTGTACTATAAAAGATGTTGTTGTGACAATGGATCATTATATGTTTGCTGTTTGTTTCAAAGTTATGTTTTGAAGAAATGTTTCTTGGCTGTGTATCCAGTAAGTCCATCAGTACTTGCCATTAAATAGGTCATGGAATGCTATACTCTAAAGTATCCCTGTAGCTCTGCAGAGTATCACTCAGTTAAAAGTCTATCAGGATGGGGAATCAGACCAAAGAAAACAGTCACACATCCAGCCAGTTTCTTTTGTTGTCTGTCTGGCAAGGTGCCATATCAGAATTTCCAGTGAGGGGTTCAAAAATTGTAATTGGGTAGTCATGCAGACAATACATATATGCTTCAAAAATGCAAAGGATGAAATCGTTTTTGAGTGAAATAATCTCATTGATTTTCTTAGAAGAAGTCCAGCACAGGCCTGCCAGAAACAGCTAAGAAATACTTGTAAAATTAGATGTTTCAACTTGTAATTGTCAAAATTTTCCTCTACTCTAATCCCAGGTCTGTAAAGTGATTCTATATTCTGTTCCCACAGGTGTGCATCTGCCTAATCTGAGAGAACTGAAGTTGAACAATAGCTTGCTTGTATCTGTGAGGTAAGAAATTAATTATTCTATGAAATAAATATAAAGAATAACAGCCCTCAATTTTATTTAAGTTATAAAATCTTCATTTGTGCTGCTTTCATTCCTTCCATTTCTCCATGCTGTGATAATGGATTAGGTCATGAATATATGCTGCACTATCACAGAATTTTAAAGACGGGACCGGATCTGGAATAAATCAGTGTAGCTGAAATGGTGCTAATGAATGAGCCCTAGTTTGCCACCAGGGAAGTTCCTGCTATGCTGAAGTCCATGGAAATTTGTTGCACGTTTGAAAGGAGCTAAAAGTTTCCCTCTTATCTATGTCGAGGTGCTTGGATTTCAGTGTTTCAGCCTTTGGGCTTTTATTGTGCACAGTAGCCTGTTCTGTACAGGTCAGACCAGTTCCTCAGCTGATGAAAATCATTTTGGCTTTACTGAAATCAGTGCAAGTTTTATGAGAGCTGCTGTGAAGCCTGCAGGTCCCTGGCTTGCTGAGCTCCATGAAAACATCACATCTTCTCCCAGATAGCTGGAGGGAGTTGGCTGGTTGGAAAGGTAGAAGTGAAAACCATCACAATGAGGAGGCAGAGCTGTCTTCTCTCTCCTGTGCTGATATCTGTATGACCCTTGCTAATTAATGCAAAGTAGAAAAACACAGTTCATATCAGAAAAGGGCTGTGTAAAAGGCCCTGTTTTAAACAGGATTCTCTCTGGCTTTGTATGGTTATCTGCTAAACTCATGAGGCAAAAAGTCGTGGGTTTGCCAGTTCTTTTTAAGAGAACATGTTCCATCATTAGAAATGGCAATAAATTATTCTTGGTCTCTCTAAAGTGTCTACAGTTGATACACTTTGATTTTATTTACCCTTGTTCTGGTGACGAGATGAAGTATCTGCAGTCTAAATTTTGTTTTTCTTGCCTTCTAATCCATAACATGTAAAAGTGGTGACTCTACATTGCTGCAGTTATTTTAATAGCAACTGACAGTTGTCATAAGCATTAAATTGCTCGATTATTGCAATGGAGGAGTAAATAGTGGGTGAAAAAAAATTTGAATTTGACAACATATTGACAAAATATTAAAAGTGGTTTTTGGTTTGATCAAAATTCACTTAAAACATGTCAGCAGAAAACCTTTTGATCAGCTCTATTGGTGCTGAATATAACAATGCTGTTCAGGAAAACTAAACTGCTTGACTCATGGTTGTAGCAGTATTTTGCACCTCTGTATTCTGAGACTGTAATTTCTGTCATGTAAAGTTCTGGCAAACCATTTTCTTTGACCTGACACCCTTGTGGACCTTGATGCAGGTAATGCTTGGTCTCAAGTTTTGATTTGATTTACTCCAATGTAAATATGTTTGGGCTTGGATATCAAGTCTAATATTGTGATGATTCCCAGGCACTCCAGCCCCAGGAGAAGCTGCCTGCTGCTCCTTCTATGTAGCAGTTAAATGCAATTCCCAGGGAATAGGTAAAAGAGGAAGAAGGTTTTTATTGGCTCTCCCAGACGTGAACGCAGTCCATATAGTTACAGCAGTAGCTTTGCTTTATTAATTCCTATCTTTGACAATCTGTCATTGATAAACACAGATCATTTAAGGGCACATCCCATGCAATCACAGCCTTGTACTTGAACTTTATTTTTGGATGTCTGCATCATGTCAATTTAATACCCATTAGAGCAGCATTGCTGCTACGGCAGCAGTGATGCCTGCTGTACCTATTGTAACACAGCTGCTCCCATTCCAGAGGCTGCTGCCATTTACTCCAAAATTCAGAATCTTATTTCTGAATTAATCTTGTTGATATTTGAATTCTGTCCAAAAAGTGATTATTTTGTTCTATTCAACCAAACCCTTGCAAATGAGGCTTTTGAGGATGACAGAAAAAAATGTTCTTCCTTCTTACTGAAAACAATTCCCACAGATTTTGCCAGCCATAAGGTCAGAATCATTGCAGTTGTAATTTGAAAATGGGCAGCAGATAATAGGAAATGTCTTCTGAGGACCAGCTGGAAGATTGGTTTTATTTACTGAAAAGACGGCAAGGACAGAAAAGCAGAAAAAATATAGAAGGTGTTTTGTATATACTTAGGATGCTAAAAGCATATTCTCGTGAATCATTATGAAGAAAAGGCTGTCAGTGTGCTTGCATGAGTGGGTAATAAGATGGGAGACTTTGTGTTTTGTCACTTTATTTTTGTTTCATCTTGTCTTGCAGAGTAGGATTATCTTATTATTTTGGGATGAAATGGAATTTAAAAATTTTTCTTTTTTTTTTGTTTTGAAAATGGAAGAAGAATTGGCTTGGTAGGTGTCAAAATGAAGGTTTATCATCCCAACTTTAGTTACTGATATTTTTTTGAGGCATTTATTCCTGTCAACCTCACATAGGAACTTAAGATGTGAGGATGCTGAGGTGTGCCTTGCCATGCACTGTTCAGTGGAAATCAAAGGAGTCCCGTTCTGGCAGTGAAGAATCAAAGTTTTCTTATATTACATCTTTCTATGGGAGCACAAGGCTTGCTAAGGCAGTGAGTTTGCATATTGGCTTCTCCTGGTAGTTCCTCAAGAAGTTGTGATTCCTTTGATGGGGAATGTGTTTGAGCTACCGTACTTGTAAATTCGTGGTCCTTCCCCAGTCCTCCTAAAGCTTGCATTACTTTTGAATACTTGAAATGTCTAAAGGATATGGTTATCAACTATTTAATTTAATCCAAAAGGAAAATATATCCAAGGTTATTTGCAGATAATCAATCTTGGTGTTTGAAAGGGAATTCCTTTCTTGGCTGTTTCTGGGTTTTGGTTTTCTACTGACCCTTTGCTAAAGGGAATGGCTCTGGACAATCCAGTGTACTGTGAAAAGAAAATAGTTCATGTTGTTGTTAATTTTCTAAATTACAGTAACTTAATTATGTCCTTGTTTGGTGACCTTCACACATTTGCTAGCAACTGAGAAATTCTAGATTTATGAACTGATAACTGAGGATGAAAAGTCAAGCCTATTCTGAAGAGTGCCTGCTCAAATTTTCTGGTTTTAGGGGATTTTTTTTTTGTTTGTTTTTTTCTGGTATTTTTGTGTTGTTTGTTTGTTTGTCTTGGGTTTTGTTTGTTTTGCTTGGGTTTGGGGTTTTTTTGTTTGTTTGTTTTGTTTGTTTGGGTTTGGTTTTTTTTTTGTGATGGCCATGGTCTTCATTTTTGAAATGCTTCCAGTAGAAGAACTATCTTCCAATCCCATGAATTACTACTTCTGCTTTGGCATGTAGCCTGTGTATTTTTCTTTTAATCAGATTGCTTTTATTCTCAATTCAGGGATGAATGAAAAGATCTGTTTAAAAATGTTTAGATAGATATCGTTATGAAAGGGCTTCTAAATCAGATAGGGGAATCCTGGGATGTGGTTCCCATAAGATTCCAGAAGAAGCTGTTTCAGCAGCTGAAGTTCATTTCCTCCCATTCAACACCACACATTGTAGCCAGCAGGAGAGTGATCTACTCTCAGGGCTTCTCAAGCATCTGCTTCTAACAGAGAGAAGCTGTTTTATTTTAAGTGAGATGAAATGCAGAGACTGCGAAGTGTGGGGACAAAAGTGGGTGTGGAGGATACAGGGAAAGGAAAGCAGATTCTCTTCATCCAGATTGAGTTGACATTTCTTTGCTGCAGTTCTCCAACTGGTCTTGCACTATTGCAGAAGCATCCCCCAGAACAAAAGGAAAGTAATCTTGGTCTGTTTCAGTCAGTAAAATCCTCAGGACGTTCAAATGAACAAGGTGCAGAGTACATTCAAAGTCAACAATACTTATGCTTTTATGAGCCTTAGGCGTTTGGTTTGTTTTTTTAACACCAGATCCCAGAGACAACACTAGCAACACAGGAGTCTTGATATTCACATTTTGAAATGTTTTGAGCCCTCTTGGCTGTGGAAAAAAAGTAGCTGTAAATATGAGCCAAGTGATTTGAGTAAAGATTTTGCTGATTATTTTATGACTGTAAGAAACCAGAGCCAAACTAATTCTTTCTTAATTCAAGGTAAGGGCTGTAAAGTAATGTTTAAAAATATTTTTGAGACTTCAATCAGGATCTTGAGGTATTTTAACTTAGCAATAAACCTCCTTTTCACCCAAGAAAGAGTTTAAGGAAATAAAATACCTTGTGTTTTTAAAGCCACAAGAAGTTTGCATTTAGTGGCATTGCTCACAAACTGAAAATTAAACATTGGTCCAATTGCTTTGCTGGATCTGGGTCAAGTTACACTATCTTGTATAAGACTAAGCCATGACACTGATCACCCCAAAATTTGATGTACTGTTGATAATGTGTCTAGGCACCAACTATTTTCTGGATAGTTTTTACTCAAACAAGAGGAACATGGGGACATCATTCCCCTGAATTTGTTTTTTTTCCTTGTCATTTTTACTTATTCTTTTCCTGCCTCACTTTTTTTTTTTTTTTTTTTTTTTTAACCCTCTGGTTTTTTTTCTCTTTTTTCTTCTGCTTGTCATTTCTAATCTTTGGCAATTACTGGATTACTATGTTTATTGTATAGTAATGTGTACAGAGGTACATAGATATCACATGTAAAACCAATGAGTTTTGTGCAACAAGGATCAGCATTGCTGTTGTGATATTTAAAAATCTCCAAACCGTTTCTAAAATCAATTCAGTTTGCGTTGCAGGTGCAAATGTTTGTCAAGATATGATGTATTTATAGCAGTTATATAAATATATATATATATATATTCACATACATAGCATATATAGTTAATGATGTTTTATATATATACATATATAGTTATGATGTGTTATAGCAGTTTCTTACTGTGTTTACCAAGGAATCAGGGAGCCCTTGCTTTAGGTTACTCTTACACATGCAGTCAGAGACCCACTGCTCTGATTTGGTTGGGGTGAATCAGTTCATAGCCTTGTTCCAGCACCCAAAGCATCGCTGTTTCCTTTCATATTCACATTTCAGGATGGGGAAATCATTTCATTTCAGATGCAGGCTG